TTTTTAAATGGTGCTTCCCAAATCCCACCAGCTCCCCCTCCCTCATAAAAAATGAACGGTCCCTTATACAGTCGTCACACCAGAATGCACAACACTGGAAGTAGTACAAACTATGGGAGCTCCTTTTGTCACAGTTTCCACATTTGACACCTGTAGTGTTACAGTCTTGAATGGCCAACACATCTAGCAAACTGTTAATGCGAAAGTTGGTAGGCAGATCATCCAGATTTCCACTTCCAGGGACTCTACTCTCTCTTCTACATTCTGGGCATGTAATGATATCATGGCAGCTTTTTCGGATCTGTAAATGTGTTCATACACACAGAAAAGGATACTTCCTCATGAAGATTGTTTAGCAAGGTTTTTATATCCATGACTATTGAAAGGCGAAAAACAGGGATGGTTTGCAGTTGTAAACGAATTCAACAATGAAGTCTTGTGATCGAGCGTCTGATAATATTAACCAATCATAGAGCGTTGTTTATAGACATGTTTAACATGTACTATTTCTAAGAATTGTGAATTGTGATGACATTACAAGCGAGAGGAGAATGAGATCGATGTAAGTTTGACATCGCACCAGCTTGTAACCGAGGCACTCTCGAACGTTTGACAAAAATAATACCTGATATCCTGAACATAGCTCGACGAACTGGAATTAAAGTTTGAATACCTAAAATCAGTCCATTTTTCCTGTTTTGTAGCCAGAAGAGACTGAGATTGTAAGACGTCATAAACGCTTGACGCACTCTCGAAAATTAGACGAAAACAATACCCCATCTCCCGAAGATAACGTGACGAATTGGAAGTATGTAGCGTGAGTGAATGATCTGTATCTTGCGGGCTCAAAATCAACTGCTACCGGGGTCTTTTAAATCACGCTTTCTTGTCGTTAAAGTTAGTGCTTATTCATAATAAGAGAAGCCGGAAATATATATGCCGTGCTTTCTATAACGTTGAGCCTTTTTGGAGCCTTCTTGGAGCCTTTGGGGATCTGAATTTAGGGAAGTAGGTAGTCACCCCTTAGGGACGACTTCATGTTAAAACATGAAGACGTCCCTACCGTGTGTTTGCTATCCGTTTGGTTGGGATGCTTGTATCACTTTATTTTTCGACAATATTCTCTTTTAAGTCTGGGCGTTAAAATTCAAACTAAATCATCATTGTTAGGGTAATACGTTATGTGTCGTGGACTAAAGAGCTAAAAGCTAATAGACACACTTCTTACACTATCTCTAATCGTATTTGTGTGAATTACGCCCCATATCCGCCTTATGGCTTCGCAATTCGACTGTTTTCAGGTCTTTCCGGTTCTATTTAGAGCGGTTAAAAAGATGCACACGTCTTTTTAAATCTATACAACGGACAAATGAACATTTGTTTCAATATTCTAAGATTTCATAGAAATCTCTTAAGCTTTCGGTCATCGTTATTTAATTTTGAATCTAGCCAATTAAAAAAAGTATCCTTGAACGCGACTCGATCATGAGTACTTTTCTCGCTCGAGTACAGCCGAAAGATAAATTGGAGGCTTCGCGTGACGCGTCGTGATTTCGAGACGAAAAAGGTGACTGTTTTCCAGTCTGTTGTTGACCGATGTCTACAAACATTTCCGCTTTCATGAATTTGAAATTTTCTCCGGGCTTAGTCTTCGTATTTAAAGGAGAAACAATGATGGAAGAGTTTGAGGATAAAATCATATCATTATTTCCCAAATTCCCCTCTTTAACGACCATTTCCGAGTTGCCTTTCATCGCTGTTTCAATGTGAGTTTTCGTTTGAAATCGGTCATTTGGTAATACTTTTTAAAAACCATTTTACCTCAGTTTTAGGTAAAACAAACTTATTTTCATCTGAATTTAACATTTCCCCCATGATTCGTACAGAAACAGAAATACACCAACACTTGGAATTGGCCTCTTATCACCGAGCACCAAATAATCAAGCCGGCAAAGTTTGGATTTCAAAATCTTACAATTTATTCACAATTTTCCATCTCTACAAGCTTACATGACACTGGTAACTATGTTGTCACAAAATTGCTAATGTCACAGAAAATAGGTCACTGTTTATTTACAAATCTCAACGATAAACTGCTTGCTAAGAAAACTTACTAACCTGTTTACAAAAGTATTTAAAATTATTTACTGGTTGATATTGAGGGTCTGGATGAGGCCAGTAAACTCAGATAGCTGACAACTGGTCAAAACTGTCACTATCAGCTAGGAAATAACGCTTTCATGAACTATTGGCTGCGATTCAAGATCAACAAATTTACTGATAGCTGATAAATGGGCTGAAAATCTTCCTGGCTGCTGAGAAATCACCAAAATTTATACTGATAAACTGAGATTACATCATCTCTTTCCAGACCCTCTAATGCTGAATACCATTTGAAACGTTAAGTTCCATCTTTCATCGACTTAACTTTCTGACAAGTATTATAAACTGTTACTAGATATAAAATTTAACGGTTTTTTTTACTTCAAAAGGGTGTGGCAAATGTATTTCTTCAAAATAGACAATTCCGTTCTACGATTGTTGATTCAACCCATTTTCCTTCATAAAAGGCGAACTTTCAAGGCTTCGACAGAAAGAGTCTTAAAAGCTAAATCAAAGAAACACTGACCTCTAAGTAAGTCTGAGTAAATATATTTCGATAAAAACTTACAATCCTTAGAATGGCTGAATCACAGAATCAGAGGCGTGACTTGCTATTACACAAGGCTATACTTGATGAAAACCGAGTCAATTGCTCAATCATAAAATTGCTGATAATCCAAGAATGCGCTAGAGTGGAGAATAAAGCACACACTCTTCTTTTCGATTTAACGCAGATCATACAACTCACAACTAACGAATGGCACTAAATTTCTAACTGAAACAATGACAAAGCGTGTCGTAAAACAATTAAGAAATCATCTCATATTTTTTAGCAGCTGATTTAATTTCATCATTGCATGATTTCAAACCGTTAAGGACTAGGTACGAGTCTGTAAATTAGGGGATTAGCAATTACTGATCCACATAGTCATAAAGTGCAGACCAAGTTTGGTGTAAAGAGACCCAATAGTAAGCAAGATACAGCCATTTGAAAATGTCAAAATTAACAAAGAAATGTATGGCCATCCGAACTCTACTCCGGATGACCAAACATTTCTTTGTTAATTTTGACGTTTTTAAATAGCTGTATCTCAGTCAAAACTAGCCTGATTAACACCAAACTTGGGGATTTTGTAAATCTCGATGTGCTCTTTCTGACTATGTGGATCAATAGTTGCTTATACCATAATTTACAGACCCGTACCTAGTCCTTTTCGGTTTGAAATCAGGCAGTGTGGATTTACTCGAAGACCTGAATGCGGTGGTTACCGAATTCAGACACGGCTATTCTACCATCGCTAAGGACTGCTGTAGAGAGTGGTTGATCAAAGTTTCCTATCCTGCTCCCTTTTGTTCCAAATTTTGTGGTAAAATTTCCACTCAGTTCAAACACCTGAACTCTGTAATTAAACGTATCACAGACCATCAGGTGTCCTGCCTTGTTAACTGACAAGCAACGAGGTTTATTAAACTCCCCGTCTCCCTCCCCCTTCTTTCCAAATTTGTACAACAAATCTCCCTCCCTAGAAAACACTTTAATTGAATTTTCTTCGCTATCTGATACTATAAGAAAGTTGTCATACTGGACGCAGTGCCAGGGTCTTTTGAAAGTTCCCTCCCCGCCAATTCTACGTAAAAACTGGCCACTAGGAGAAAATATCTTAATTACTTTGTTACCTGAATCAGTGACAATAACATTCCCGTCACTGTCTACAGATAAACCACGGGGATACTGAAGCTGGTGATCAAGAGTTCCTTGTTTACCAAACTGGTTCAGGAACTCACCCCGCTCACTGAACAATTGAACACGGTGGTTAACACTGTCCACCACTAAAATATTCCCATTCTTTATATCAAAAGCTATCCCGCAAGGAAAATCAAATTCTCCCTGTTTATCACCCTTTGTACCAAACGATCTTAAGTAAGTTCCATCACTACTGAACAGCTGGACTCTGTTGTTACCTTTATCAGTCACTGCAATTTCATTCCTTTCATTCACTGCCACTCCCCAAGGGGTCTGTAGATTTCCAGCAGCCGAGCCTTCTTTTCCAAACGACAGCACGGGTCTGAACTGTCTGGGTTTGATCTGAACTGCAAAAGGGCTGCCATGAACGTGATCCTCATTTACTTTTACTGATACAACGCATTTTCCAGTTTCTTTGGCAAAGTAACTTATCTTGTAGCTGCCATCTTTGTTATCCTGGACTCGCGGTTCGGTCGCACAGTCCTCTCCTTGCTGATTTCTGAGTTCAACTGTTACACAGTCACGCTCGTAATGACATTGTTTTCCTTCAGTATTTCTTGTTGTCAAAACAAACTGTGCTTCAAGTCCGACGACAGCTTCATTGATTCCTTTTCCTTCGGCATTTGATTGCTGCGCACTAGTCTTGGAAAGGAAGGTTTTGAAAGAGCCGATTCCTTCAGTGATTGCTTTCTCTAGCAATGTTTCGTTTTCCACGAAAATAAATTGACGAAGACCTTCAAGGTCACAGTCGACTTGTTCTCCTTCAAGCCTGACTCCTTCCTGAAAGATTGTTTTCAATGTCTTATCTAACTGTGCTATCACGGGGCTTGTGCTTCGCTTTAAAAGTGTTTCAGTTTTTTCAATTCCTTTCTCAATCTTTTGAGCTTGTTGTTCAATCTCATTCCTTTGTGTTCCCAGTCGCTGGAGTGATTGTTTTCCTTGATTTTCAACTTTATGAATGATCTCCTCTTTTTTCGCTTCGATAACAGCAAATATGTTATCAGCAAACTGCTGCACGCTTCTCTTCACACTAGCGACTCTTCCTTGAATTGTTGCACAATTCTGGTCAATCTGAAAGATTTTATTTCGCATCTGCTGCGCCATTTTCCTTTGAGATTCAATCACAGACTTCGCTTCTGCCTTTCTTTCATTCGCCGCTTCTTCCAAAAGTATTTTGACGTGGCCGTCGTGAATGGTTGCAACACAAGAGTTGCAAATGGCTTCCGCACAGTCATCACAAAAGAATTTCAGTTTTTTCCTGTCGTGTCCTGGCTTTCTGCAAAATGCTGGTCGCTTTAACACGTCCTCGATGTCTTGATCTTGGAAGTCTTTAATCGCCAACACTCGGTGTTCTTTATTTGCTCGGATTATGTTGTGCCCAGTGATACAGTCGTCACACCAGAATGCACAACACTGGAAGCAGTAGAAACTGCGGGAGCTTTCCTTGTCACAGTTTCCACATTTGACACCTGTAGCGCTACACTCTTGGATGGCCAACACATCTAGCAAACTGTTAATACGAAAGTTGGTCGGCAGATCATTTAAGTTTCCACTGCCAGGGACTCTACTCTCCCTTCTACATTCCGGGCATTTAATGACATCATGGCGGCCACTCGTTCGTAGAATTCCTTCCAAGCAGTGAAGGCAAAAACTGTGTAAACATGGCAGCATTTTCGGATCTGTGAATGTTGTCATGCACACAGAACAGGATACTTCTTCATGAAGATTGTTTAGCAAGGTTTTTATATCCATGATTATTGAAAGTCGGAAGACAGGGAGGGCTTGCAGTTGTAAACGAATTCAGCAATGGGGTCTTGTGATCGAGCGTCTAATAATATTAACCAATCGTAGAGCGCTGTTTATAGACATGTTTGACACGTACGATTTCTCAGAATTGTGAATTGTGATGAGTTAGCTTGACCTTATTCAAATCATGTTGTGTTAGTTCGCTAAAAGATTGAATGGTTGTATTTCATCTACAAAGACATCTAAAAGCGAGAGGAGAATGAGATCGATGCAAGTTTGACATCGTAGCAGCTTGTAACCGAGGCACTCTCAAACATTTGACGAAAATAATACCCCATCTCCCGAAGATAACTTGACGAATTAGAATTATTTAGTCTGAGTGCCTGATCTGCATCTTGCGGGCTTAAAATCAACTTCTAACTGGATGTATTGAATCACGCCTTCTTCGTCGTGAAGTTGATTTTGAACAGAAAGAGCAGGGAGTAGATATATATCTGCAATGCTTCTTTAAACAACAGCACTGATGAACACTGATATTAAAAACATTTAACTTTTGAGCAGGTTGCACGAACTTGCTCTTAGCAATACAATAATGGTGATAATTGCGAATGATTTTTACATGGACTGCATGGCATATTTGATTCATAACCGGGCTATGTTTTCCTTAATACACGATTTTTGGTTTTAGGTGTCAATTTATAATTAAAAACGATGTGAACTTGTTTTGTCGCAGTTGTCAGGTAATAGGGGATTTGAGAGATAGTCATTGGAACTTGTAGGGGGAAGGGGAGGGTGGGAATGGTAGGCTTGCTTGACAGAAACTCTGGCCAATAGTTCTGCTGGTCAAAGTATTGGCCATTAAATCTGACATACTCTATTTCGACAATACTTAACTTGAATTTAAGAGAAGGGGGCAGGAGGACGAAGCGACCACTTTTGGGCCTTTTGGGCTTCGAATATGTTTTTCAGCAATAAGTCGTTCGTGCCCCTACATTCCTTCCTGTTGTAATCCACATACAGAGTGATCTTGCTAATGACATTGTTTACATTTTTCTTCATTAACATACGAATTTGCACTGAGAAGGCATCATGCTAGATGCAACAGTACCTCCAAACATTCAATCGGATTCACAGAGATTGTGAAACTCAGGAATTGGTTACGTTTTTGGCTCTATGGGTGAGATATTCAGGGTGAAATTCGCTTTCAAATAGTGCAAAATTTCTGTTCGGCAAAAGCGTCAGTAATTAAGTTCATACATTCTTGTTGAAATTTTGAGGTTTTAAACCTCCATCGCACAAAGAGTATTCAATACGTCGGGGCTCAAATCCCTTGGCACAGCTAATTGTTCTATGTCTTCAATATTCAAAACTGGTATATTTTTGAAACTTGATCAAAAACTAAATCTCTTGTGGAAATGATGCAAATCTTGTTAACAAAGATTCTCCTATGGCGACTTGTTCAGGCTTGTTTTCACGATGAATTCTCAGCAGCTTATAAACATCGATTTCTTTTCTTTCTTTCTTTTTTGATTTTCTTTTATCGAGCAGAGAAGACATAACTTACACAAGGATTATTACACATTCAGTTAAAAAGATGTACAAGTCTTGTTTAGTAATCAATACAACGGACTAATGAACATTTGTTTCATTATTCTAATATTTTATAGAAATCTTTTAAGCTTCCGGTCATCGTTGTTTAATTTTGAATCTAATCAATTAAAACGAGTATCCTTGAACGCGCCCCAATCATTGTCTCGCTTGAGTTCGGGCAAACGATAAACTGGAGGCTTCGCGTCACGCGTCGTGATTTCGAGACGAAAAATGTGACTGTTTTGCAGTCTATTGTTGACCCATGTCTACAAATATTTCCACTTTCATGAATTTCAAATTTTCTCCTGGTTTAGTCTTTGTGTTTAAAGAAGAAACAATAAAGGAAGAGTTTGAGGATAAAACAAACTCACTATTTCCCAAATTCCCCTCTTTAACGACCATTTCCGAGTTGCCTTTCATCGCTGTTTCAAAACGAGTTTTCGTTTGAAGCCATTCATTTGGAAATATTGTTTTAAAAACCATTTTACCCCCGTTTTAGGTACAGCAAACTTATTTTCATGTGAAATAAACTTTCTCCCCATGATTCGATCAGAAGCAGAGATAAAGTGTAACTTGGAACTGGCCTCTTGTCACTGAGTACCAAATAATTAAGCCAGCAAAGTTTGGATTTCAAAGTCTTACTTTTTGTTCACAATTTTCAATCTCTGCAAGCTTATATGACATTGGTGACTATGTTGTCACGAAATTGCTAATGTCACAGAGAATATATTACTGTTTATTTACAAAATTCAACGATATAATGCCTGCTAAGAAAACTTAGTAACTTGTTTACAAGAGTATTTAAAATTATTTACTGGCTGATATTGAGGGTCTGGATGAGGCCAGTAAACCTAGATAGCTGACAATAAGTCCTAATTATAACTGTCAGCTTGGAAATAAAGCTTTCTTTAACGAACTGCTAACTGATTCAAAATCAGCAAATTTACTGATCTGGGATGAAAAATTAACTGATTGCTGAGAAATCACCGAAAATTAAACTGATAAACTGATCGAGATTACATCATCTCTATCCAGACCCTCTGATGTTGAAAACCACTCGAAACTTTAAGTTCCAGCTTTGCATCGAGTTACATTTCTGGCAAGTATTCTAAATTACATTAACTTGATATAAATTTAACACTGTTTCCGGTTGTAAGGGTGTAACAAAGAAATGTTACATCAATAAAATTAACTTAAAATCAATCAAAATAGTCTAAAATAAGAGCTTCTCTAATTCGTCCATTTTTGAGTTTAAACTATTCCCAATAGACCGTGATTATTCATTCTTCGATTCTTAGATTGTTCAGTCCACTATCCTTTATGATTAATTCGAATTTTCGAGTTTTAGAGAAAAAACAACTTTATGAGCTTAGATATTTAAAAGCGTCAGTGACCGATTATGCAGATACACTTCAATAAACACTTTGAATCCTTACAATAGTTAAATCACAGAATCAGACGCATAACTTGCTATTACACTATACTTGGTGAAACCCTAATAAATGGCTCAATCATAAAATTGCTGATAATCCAGGAATATGCTAGAACGAAAAATAAAGCGTACACTCTTCTGCGCGATTTAGCCCAGATCACACTACTCACGATAAAGAAATGGCGCGAAATTTCAAACTGAACCGAAACTATGACAAAGCGTATCGCGGAAAATCAACTCAAATTTTGTAGCAGCTGAGTTAATTACATCATGTCGATTTACTCGAAGATCTGAATGCGATTGTTAATGAAGTCAGACACAACTATCCTACCATCGGTAAGAACTGCTGT